AGTTTTGCTGAACACCCCCCTTTTCTATGTTGTGTGTGTGTGTGTGTGTGTGTGCTTTTTAATAAGGTAGTTTGATGGGAGAGCACTAGAGGAGAGATATAATGGAAAATGTAAGTGATGTATAAATAAAAAAAAATCCCTGAAATGTATTTTTAAAAAATGTTTCTTTAAATGGTTTGATTTAATATAATTTCTTTATGCTTATGTGATTTACATTTACATTTACACTTACATAGTGGTCATCTCCCATATGTAAATCATGTAAGCATGTGTGAATGACCCCCTGATGATGATTCTGGAACTGACACCCCTGAATAATCAGCCCACATATTTTCTTCTCTATAAAATAACCATAAAACAATTACAACTTTTTAAATAATACTTTTTTTATGCAAAGTGCTTTAAAATTAACAACAATAATCACATGAAAGCATACCAATACATACCAGTACCATACACTTATTAAGCTTAATGACACTTTAGAAATATATCAGATGTCTCATAACAGCAAGAGGGGGTGGTTACTTTCAGCTCCTCAGAGGCTTTGCCAAGAGATCATAATAAACTCTGGTGGGCTTTGTTATACTGGAAAGTTTTCATGCATGGAAAGGTTACAGACTCTGGGTCTTTCATTTCAGAACCAGACCCATATATTTGGAGAAGCTCAGTATCAGAAGATAAGTCATCTAAAGATGTTTTATTCTCATTTTTTTCATTGAAATAACTCATTCATGCACATGTCTGAAGTATAGAGGAGTTATGATCTGCATAAGGTTAATACCTACACTAAGGAAGTTAGGGGTATTTTGCAGTACTGAAGCACTGGGTATCATTGTCACCGTTTTAATTCATTCTAGGTAACATCATTCAAATGTCAGTAAAAGTTTGTGTTCTTATATCTCTGTCTTCATATGAAATAGTAAGACTGTGAGATGATGTTTGCATAATATTGAACTGCTCCATTATGTGCTTAGTGTTTAAAACATTTTTTTAAAAAATTCTATTCCATCTGAGAATGAGCATCACAAGTGATTTTATGCAGGACTCAGTCATCTTATACAATTTAATGTTCTTCAAAATTAACCATTTTATGAAAATTATTTACATTTAGTTTTATTTTGTTTTCCTCCAGGTTTAGGCTTAGCTTTCAATCTACAACCTGCCTTAACCATGATTGGCAAGTACTTTTACAAGAAAAGACCCATTGCTAATGGATTGGCCATGGCTGGAAGTCCTGTGTTCTTAAGTACATTGGCACCTTTCAATCAGTTTCTTTTCAATCATTTTGGCTGGAAAGGGAGCTTCTTGATATTGGGAGCAGTCCTTTTGAACTGTTGTGTGGCTGGGTCACTCATGAGACCTGTTGGACCCAAACAAGCTCCTGCTAGAAACGATGTTGAGAAAGTACTGGGAGAGACAAGTGTACAGAAAATCATCAAGAGAAAATCAGCATGTGAAACTGTCAATAAATATTTAGACCTGTCCCTTTTCAAGCACAGGGGGTTCCTGATTTACCTGTCAGGAAATGTCATTATGTTTGTTGGCTTTTTTGCACCAATTGTGTTCCTGGCACCATATGCAAAACACAAAGGAATTGATGAATATTCTGCAGCCCTTTTGCTGTCCATCTTGGCCTTTATAGATATGTTTGCTCGGCCTTCTATGGGTATATTGGCAAACACCAAGCTGATCCGGCCTCGTATCCAGTACTTCTTCAGTTTTGCAGTCTTGTGTAATGGCATCTGTCATCTATTGTGCCCTCTGGCAGAAAGCTACAGTGGCTTGGTGGTATATGCTGTATTTTTTGGCTTTTCCTTTGGCATGGTCAGCAGTGTCCTCTTTGAAACTCTCATGGACCTTGTTGGTGCCACAAGGTTCTCCAGTGCAGTGGGACTTGTCACTATTGTGGAATGCTGCCCTGTTCTGATTGGCCCTCCATTGGCAGGTAAGTTCATTTTCGGAAAACCACAGAATTATAGAAGGAGAAGAGTGATTGTCTTAGAGATCCCTTCAAACTTCTAATTGCACAGATGCAGAAAATTGAGATTCAAAAGACTAAGTAAATTGGTTAAGAAACCACAGAGAATTAAGAGCAGGTCTGGGACTGGAATCATTCCTTCTCACTCCTAGTTCAGTACCTTATTATAGCACATTCCATAGTTGTATTCTTCTAAAGAAGAGAAATTTGACATTTCTATCCATTACTATATCCTTGCAGAAAAGTTCAAAAAAACACTTTTGTTCTAAAAATGATGTTAGGAGTCCATGAATAGTTTCATTAACCTTTTCCTCACCTTCTACTGAATAATAAACACTGATAGCCTGAAGGCATCTGGTACTATGATTAATGAATGCTCTATATTTTCAATTTTATTAAAATTTTCATAGACTATGATCACTTTTCTTCCTGGCATAATTTCTTTTAAGATCTAGGCCTAGCTGTTACATGGCTGCTTAGCTATATTTTATCACTACTGATTACCTTTTTTTTTGCTCTTTTACATCTTATTTTCAAATTTTCTGTCTCCTTTGTTCAGAAGATTTAGAAATATGTACATTGGGAAGGCAAACTCTCTTCTCCACAGTTTTTATTTTTATACAATTAAAGTTTTCTCTTCATTTTTTTAAGAAAATGCCACTGAATTGAATTAATTGAAATTGAATCTATTGTTAGAAGCTACCCACTTTATACAAGCATTGGAATTTGTCATAATTTTAATAAAGATTTTTCATATGCCATTAACATGTACATATGGATATGTGTACAATTTCAGTAGGATTGAGTAAAGCTTTTTCTTATTTGAGTTAACTTTAATTCAAATTAACACGTGAATTTTGAAATTTGCCTTTGGATTGTAAGACATATTTAATGAAATTATTTTCAAAAGGTAAGACGCAGTTATATGTGAGTTTAAATTATTTTAGGGTTCAAAGCATATTTGATATGTGATACCTCAAAAAAAAGTAAAAAAAAAATTCCTAAAATATGTTTCATATGCTAAAGGCAAATGACTGTATAAAGCGACACAAAAGAAATAATTACAAAGGGTAAATCCTTATATTTAGTCCTGAAATATCAGTATCTAGTTTTAAAATCCATGTTTTAATTCTATAAGGTATATTATGGATGTTTACATATGAAGTCGAGTGTTCTCACGTAATAATCAGATTCAGACATTTATGAAAACGTTCTAGTTTTTCACACCAATCTGTCTCTGTTTCTTTGGACCATTGTCTCTCTTTTATTGATGTTGGAGAAGGAAAGATTTTTATTGCACCTATTGTATCTGTCACCTTACGTAAGTCCATAAATCAAATGAGTTCATCTAAATTGTCACATGCTTTTGCATTTTTAAGTTTCTGATCCGATTGGTATCAAAGAATAAATTAAAATGTGTAAGAACCCAACAAAACTAAATAAGCCAAGTTATCCAAACATTAATTTCCTTCTTCCAGTATTCCATGAAGTAGAAATCCCAATTTCTCTGAGTAACATGGCCCTGGTTGATTATAATCTATTGGTATAGCTCCTAGTTGCTCATCAGGTTTAGACCTTAACTATCACACATACTCTTTATTGATTTTGCTCTTATTATGAATTATGTGACCCCCAAAATATCAGTAAAAAATGAAATCAGTCATCTGTATGTTTTCTTCATGCATTACCAAACAATTTATTTGACTCTAATGGAATGACTTTGTTGATTTGGCATCAACACATAAGCACAGTCTTAGGATCTAACTCACTAATAATGGAAACTATTATATCAACATTAGAGTCTAATCAATGAATGAGAAAATGGGAAAAACACAAGAAAGGGGACAGAATCACTAAAGCACAACAGGTTGAATTGAATAATGATTTCCATTGTCAGTTATGGTAATACATTCTGTGGTCAATGATTAGGGTGACATAGCTCTATTATTTTGCATTATGATAACCATAGAAGAAAAAAAGGGAAAGGGGAATAATGTAAGTAAACATAAATTTAAAATTATCTATCTATATGTGTGTGTATACACATATGTACACATGTGTGTGTACATACACATATGTACATGTGTGTGTATATATATATATATATATATACATATATATATATTTGTATGTTCCATTAATATTGCAACTAAGTTTGGGGAAACAGATATTTTCATCCTAGTTTTATTTGGCTGACCAGAGTCATGTAAACTAAATAAGAATTGTATTAGCCCTTAGGATAAAATGCCTTTCAACCAGGAGAGTAAGGATGGAGATACCTTACAAGTCTAAAGGTACTTAATATGGTATTTAAGGACCCTCTTATTTAATGAAAAAGAAAGCTTAGAAATGAAGAAGAACTTTGGAGAAACCTATACATAACAATATTCTATGTGTGACTGTTTCTTTTTAGGAATTCATAATAATATCAAACCCTAAAATTTCATTTCTTGTGAATATAACCTAATTAATGTAGAGCTCCTTTACCCTGTGAAGATGTATGAAAGAATTTCTATGTTAAAGTATTATCATTTTGTAGTATTAGTTCAAATCGACTATATCCATATAAAGGACATTCCAAAAATCTTAGTGCAATTGCAATTTTAAGCTTTAAAACTGCATTAAAACTTATAGGACACTCAGTATTTATAGCTGTAAAAAACTTGAATTTGAAAGTGTTAAAATTTGCAAATTAGTCTTTATCTCATCTCACACATATTTTTTGTGTTTCAGGTAAACTGGTGGATGAAACTGGAGAATATAAGTACATGTATTTTTGCTGTGGGGTGATTGTGACTATAGCTAGCATATGGCTGTTTGTTGGCAATGCTATCAACTATAAGATGTTGGCCAAGGAAAAAATGTTAGAAGAAGAAAAGCAGAAAGCCCTAAACCATGCTGACTCCAAGGAAGTAGAACCTTTGACCAATAATGAAAATGATGACATTACTGTCCGAGCTACCAAAGTACTTGATGATCCCTCAGAAAGAGAAACGAATATTTAATGGGAATCATCACTCAGATATCAGTGTTTCCAACTTCCTTTAAAATATAGGGCAGTTTTTTTTTTAGTTATAATGATCAGCTATAGTTATTGATGGAGATAGAATTTTGTTCAATGACAAGATTCTAATCAATTTGTTATTGATGACTTTTTTTTATGATTGTGGTGGTGGTAAGATTCTTTGTTGTTGTTGAGTTGCAAATATGCAAAGGAATCCAGTCTCAACCAGGATTCTGAACTCTGTGGGTAAGATATTGATTTAAAGTCTTCCAGTGACAAGTGAACTTGGTCACAAATACAGAAGTAAATTCTCATTACTACATTATCTGCTTCATACGCTACAGGAAAATATTTGTCTGAACCCTCAGGATGATACTTATTCCTATGAATATCTCCTCTTCACAGTGTTTGTTTTTTTTTTTTTTTTGATGTTTGACAAAAAGAGTGGAATCAACTAAAGGGAGGAAAAGACTGCTACAAAGAGTATTGAGGATAAAACCAACACCAGACCTATGTACAATGCAACCAATAACATACTATTTGTGGGATTTTTGTTTGTTTAAATTACAGTATGCCCAGGGTGACAAAATGATGCATTATTTTTACATTAGCCTTTACAGTATGAATGTTAAAATCAGGAGATAAAATGAGTAGGTCTTTATTCTAAATGCAATTAATGACTAAATGATAGTGTTTGTATATATCTAAAGTAACCTTTGTGAAAATGATGAAATTGATATGCTAAAACAATTACTTTTGAGGCCATATAATTAATCCAGATGTTTCTGGTGTCAGTTGATTGACTATAACCTAAAGAAACAAATCTTATTTTTTAAGATTTTTAGTCATTAAAATATCCCAGATAAAGGAATCAGAAGGGACAGGAAGTCAAGGAAAGTGGTTAGGAATCGCCTCAAGTAATACATTTAAAACAGTTTTAGGTCTACAATGACAAGACATAGCAATTAGGGATTTCTGTTGAATATATTAGTAATCTCAAGTTAGAGTTTTATTTTTATTTTTTGACCAGTTTATTGATGTTATATAGTACAACCAGCTGGCCCTCTTGTTGACAGACCTTCATTGAGGCTAAATTATGACTTTCCCCTATACCTGGAAGAAGTGCCTGCATTGAAGGAGAGCAATCTGATTGGCTCTACTGTGGGTCCAGTCCAGTGGGTCTTCCCAGTGTCCCAGGCTCACAGGTAGCTAATCTAAAATGCCTCAACATGATAGTACTGGAAAATTCAAATCCTGTAGCCATCAGACTCAGACAGCTTATAGAGGCAACTGAGTGAAACAGTGTCAAGTTGGGTTCTGACCATTTCAGCTATCTCATTTTTACTTTATAGTCACAGCATGGAATATAATGATGAGAAGCTTGTGTGGATGCTTTTCAAATTTAGGAACCAGTTTCTCATTTTTGAACCCTTGTAAGATTTCTGGAAATCTATAATACCATTTTAAGGAAAATTAGATATTAACCTTATTCTTTCAAAGTCTCAAATTTAAAAAAAATAACATTTTAAATTAGAAAACATTAATAATATGACAATTTCAGTTGTAAATATTAAGTTCTATAGATTTGAATTTTAGTATTATAATTAATAAAATATTTTATGTTTTCTTACTGCGATGAAATCACCTTAATGATGTCAGATGGAATTTTCTTTCTTGCTGCTGTTTTTTTTTTCCTTTCTTTTTTTCTTGAACATAGGGAAGGTAGCTATTCTGATAGACAATAGGAAAACACATATCAATCCTTTTGAAATCATGAACAATGAGGATCTGATTCGTAAAATATTTATGTACTGTTCATGCAAGATACTTATACATCTTTACAAAGATATGTGAAATTTCACATTTCATTTACCTTTTGCCTTTGAAAAATAACATGTAAAAGTGTTAGAATACCAAAAAAAAAAACATTAAGTTAAGTAGAACAAGATGTGCCAATATCACAGGTAAACAAATCAGGGAAAATTTGGCAAGTATGGGAGAGTATTTAAGTGAATTGTGTCTGATCCTGATGTTTAATTTAGCTATTTTCATAGATTTATATTTTTATATTTTACTCTGATTTGTCATAACAGGTGCAGAATCACAAATTATCTTTCTCCTCTCTAGACTTAAACACCTTTTCTAGAAACAAACAAACAACAAAAAAAAAACCTCATTCTTAATCTTTGAAGATGTATGATTAAAATAATGTGGATCTCAAACCTCATGTATAGGAACTAAATAACCCCAAAGTATGGGATTCTTGTCTTTCCTATCAGCTGGAGGTGGCCTCTGTTGCAGTGGCCTAAATTTTCATTGCTCCTTTTTTCTCTCAACAAATGAGATGGGCAACTTCTTATAATTTGCTCCCACTGATCAGTTTATGGTTAAACCAACACTCTATCATTTGTTGGTTTTAGTCATTGATTCCTAGTTCCTTGTACTGTTTTTGTTTTTAAACTTTGTTTTTTTAAATGAGAAACAGAATATAACTATTGCCCAACAGATGGGCTTGCAAAAACTCTTAGAGTGACACACTTGTACTGTACAATAGTACAAATATGCACATATAATCCCTATTCACAATTGTAATAGGGGTTAAAACTGAACACACTTGAAATAGTGGTGTAGATATACCCACTGGGGCCAGATCTGTGCTAGGGTAGCCCAAAGTTTTTCCATCAGGATTTGATTTGTTTTATTTGATTTCTAGTCTAGTTATTGCCTCTGTCAAAATCTTACCAAGAAGAATGAAGAATTTAAGCCAAGGGTATTCATCATAATATGTCTCATGAGAGGGCACATATAAGATTTTATGTGAATGAAGCAATACATGTTGGACAAAGTTCTCCCTTATTTGAAGTATGTGTAAGCTTCAACTCTGCAGAATCGCATGTGAAATGAACCTACTTAAATCCTCTTTGAGTCCTATTTGAACATTACTCTGAAGACTTCTGATGCTATGTTATGAGAACAAAAGGTCTTAAACCAGAAACATAGATGATTTCTGTTTATGCAATCTCTTTGCACCAAGTAGGAGAATCAGGTGCTCTGGAATTTCCAGAGTTGCTATGGAAAGGAGTTTCATTTTTTTAGGCTTGGAAAAAATGTGAAAGAATTTAGTTCCATATCTATGTTTTCATGAATAACTCTTTTACCACACACAAATCTACCCTTAATGATGTGCTGAATTTTTATTGCCACCCCTCCCAAAATGGCACAAATGAACTACTGTCAGCTGAATAGTAAGACAAGAACTTTGTGTCTTTTTATCTGGTTGCACTGATCAATCCATTGGGTATGCTCCTGGCCAATCCTTTTTGTGACCCACAGCACAAATTTGAGACAGATAGTCAAGATTGCAATATAGAAGGAAATTCTTTTTCCCCCTTCTGTTTAAAGCTAATTGGTTCACAAACTTTACTTCAGCATCATGTTCTTTCTGAGCCCATAAACCCATATACCTGACTTTAAACACCTTCAAAATAGTGATATGCTTAAGCTGTTAATGCTAAAATAATCATGTTATAAACCCATTTCACCTATGTATATCTGAATAAGCAGCATTGCTTCATGGAAACTATGGAAAACACCATGAGAATTTAAGTATAAGAAAAATTTATGGCAATTTCCCTATTTAAAGAAATATGTCTTCTCTAGGAACATCAAGAATAAAATGCCAAAGCAGCTAGAAGAAAAAAAAAATGCTAAAAAAAATTGATCATAGCATTAGGCTCACTGCATTAGGCATTACAGTCTGAGTACAAGAGAATTTAGTCCTTATGTGGACCAAACAACAGGGTATCTAAACCTAATGATAGGTTAAAATTGAATGGAAGTCATTTAATTACACAGCAAAGAATGATTAGCAAACATGTGCCCCAAATGCCCCACATTTCTGCAATAATTTATATTATGTTTTTACTTAGAAGTTTGCTGGAAACTGGATTTGCTGTAACCCAAATACATCATTTCTAATTGCTAGCATTTCTAGGAAATGCAAAATGTTTGGTCTCCAAATAATGCTAATGATGAAAAAATAGCCATGTCATTTTTTATGTAACTCCTTTTTCCTCATTAATAATAATGACTTGTATTTATATAACTTAAGCATCATAAATTTCCCTGGGGCTGGGTTTAGAAGAAAATGTTATTAATTTTTATGATTATCTAGTTCTCAATATTAATGGCAAATAGCTCATTAGCTGTTTGTTGTGATGCAAAAAAATAAAATCTGCTCATTAAAGAATGTGTTATCTTCTATGCCAAGTTGTACTGATAAGTTCCGTGTTTGGTACTCTTTCTAGCAACAAACACATCATGAAAAGAATATGTGATTTAGGCAATTTAATTCATTTTTCTGAGATACATGAGTTTTTAATAGTTGTGCACAATTTATCCCTTATACTACAGCTCAGTTTTCATGTTCTCTTTAGAATGTATCTATATCTCTCTTTTTAAAAATTTGCTTCACTGAAACTGAAAATTTCATTTATTGTTGTCTTGTTAACTTTATATAAACATTAGAGCTTGAAAGGGACCTTAAACATTGTCTAATCTTGCCTCCAGCCTCCAAATTTCAGGTAAAAAAACAAAAAAACAAAAATTCAAGCTTAAATTTATGACATGACAAGCCTAAAATGATATATCTAAGTTAATGACAGACTCAAGACTGGAACCTCTAATTCCTGAATCTCTCTTCCCAATACCCCATCCTAGCTCCAGCATATTAAAAAAGTGTCTGTGCCCCTCCTCATGTGCTTTAAAAATATGATTAAAATATTTAAAATAATGTTCTACAGCTTGTCTATTCATATGACTTGCTGTTGTTTCTATTACAGTATTTTCCTCAAACTAATATACAGTTTTATACTTAGGGTCAAAAAAATCACCTATAAAAGTGTACAATTCAGTGAATATTTTAATTCAACAAATATTCATTAAGTACATACTATATACAGAATAATGTATTAAGGGATGATTACATGTAGTAATATCATTGAGACATGGAATAGTTCAATTTCAATTCTGTTTCAGTGAATTTTTATTGAACACTTAGCATATATGTTGAGCTCTGGAGCTGCAAAGACAAAAATGAAAGCAGGCTTTGTTAAGAAAGTTATTTTCCATTGGGTGATAGCAATGGAATTGTCTGCTGAAGTAATGTTTGTACCTCAAGCACACAATTTCAAGTATGCTTATACCAAAGAAACAGTGGCATATCCTTGCAGTGACCTCCTCCCTCTTCCCTAATTTTCTTTCATCTTTCAGCTTTTTTTTAATATCTAGATGGAAATGCTAGCCAATTTTAAAGACAAGTATGATCCCTAATGGGAAGATGGGAAGTGGGAGATCAATGTGAAGGCTGAAAACTTCAATTAGAGATGCCATATAAGAGTATCATGTGATTTACCAAAGTAAAAATTTACTTTAGTTGATACAATTTGAAAATTAATTGAGTCCCAAACTATATCTATCTACTTTTCTTTCCTAACACAACCAACTGTCTGAATGTTTTAAACAACTTTACATTGTTTAATTTAGAGATGTTGTGTTGAAGATGTTTTCCTTAGTTACAGATATAACCACTTTTATTCAAGCATCAGGGTTGTTCAATTTATTTTGACACTCCACTAAAGCTTTACTTCACTAGTTAATTGTTAATACAAAGGATACTATGCTATTTAAAATTTGGTCAAGTTAGAATGTGAATGAAAAAGTCCCTGCTTTCCATCAGTGAATCTAAATGTCCTCGGCTAGAATAAAGCTATCAAAGATAGCCTAAAGTATGTTGTGTTAACAATATCATGTCCTGGAACTCTTTGCCTCTGGTAGAAGTTATTTTCAAGTTTGATTAAAAATATTTTGGTACATTTGAAAATTTTTCATTAGTTATATTATTTTTTCCTATGACATGACATGCTTGTAATCTAAGTGTCTTTTTAACAACTTTTTCAGAGGGCAATTTGGATGTTTACTTTTAATTTTGCTTCATTGTCTGAATGCCTTTGCATTTCTTTTATGGTCTTTATTTTTGTTTGTGAGCTCTGGTGATAAAGTGAGTACTGTTCAGATATAGTCCTTTTGGTGGCATTCCAATGAGGGTACCCATTCAATTTTTACTATGATAGGTGCTCATTGCTGTTTAAGAATCCAATATTTTCTCCTCTGCCTAAAAGATTTTGCTGTTGTTTTGTGGTGAAATATTGGTGATAGAAGTAACCTCAGAGGCCATATAAATGAGACAAGAATCCCTTTTATTACCCTAGGAGTGGACATCCAGCTTGTATTTTTCAGGAAGACCTATAGAGAGAGGGAAGGTACTCCCTTCTTTGACAGTTCATTGCACTTCGGGTTAGTTCAAGTTGTTAGGAAATAATTCCTTACATTAAGTCTAAACTAGTTTGTTTTTTACTACTTCCACTCTTTGTCCCTAGTTCTGTCCTCTGAAGTCAAACAAAGTAAGTCTTATCTCTTGTCCCCAGGATAACCCTTTAAATCTTGGAAAATGACTATTGTTCCCTTTACAGTGTTTTCTGAGGTGGGGGGGGTAATATTTTCTAGTACCCAAAATGTTTTTAAGCTAATATGTAACTCTTTTTAACATATTTTTCTATCTATATGTACCATACATATTACAGAAATCTTATAAATTCATAGAATGAGTTTTCCTCTAGTTAAATAACCTCCTTTTATGTTTGCTTTGTATAAGAGAAAAAAAATCTCACATATGGTAAAACTCTGTTAATAATTAATAAGCTTTTGCATGAATATGCTTTTCTCTAAAGATATATTGTCCCAATTCAGTATTTTTTATATACCTAAAACAAGTTTGCTTCAATGGACACATTATACACACACACACACACATACATACATACATACATACATGTATTTGTTTTTCTCTATTAAAATGTGGAAGCCACAATTTTCAAATAGGTGACTTACATTACATATGAACTTTTTTTTTCCTCCATGGTCAACATTCTTTTTTCTACTTAAAAGGTACAAATGTTGACATTTAATGATAAATGTTGTCTTCATTACCTGGAGCTTATAGAAGTAGTAAAACAGATTCTTTGTATGTCTGATATCACATACCATTTAACTGAGATGAGCAAAGCATAATCCTGGAAACACAGACTGCTTTGCAAATTTTTGGTTTCATAGAGGAGGACATTGGATTGATTCATATATAGGTTGTTACTAAATAAAGACCATACTCTTAGCATGAGGTCTCTTGAAGGGAAAAAAAAGAACACTTAGGCATACTCTGAATAAAATATTGGTTACAGGCCTCATTAATACTTTCTACAAAATATAAGAAAGAAGACTGGTCTATATTTGGACCAATATAATTTTCCTTCAAATAGTGAATTGTATGTCCTGAAATAATCCCTAACCACAATCCTTAAACTGCTTTTCATTGTCACCTGTCTATTTCTCTTGTTCTCTGTCTCAACCTCTGTTTTGCTCTGTTTCCCTCTCATTTTGTTTGTTTCTTTCTGCCATTCAAAGGACCAGATCAGCTGAGACAGTAGAAGATTATCACCAAGGATTGCTTATAAAGCAATGGGTATTTTCCAATATAAGGAATACTTTTCCTACTCCTATGTAAGAAGATAATCCTGGGAACATTTTAGAAATAAGAATTAGGACAAACTTCTTGTCTTATGTAACACTGTTATAAAAAGACAAATAAAATGGCGAATGGAAGAGGTTCTGAAAAAAACAAAAACAAAAACAAACAAAATCTTGTCTTTGACTTTTTTAGTTCCCTCAGATAAAATGGAGGTTGTTCCTAAATAAATAGGTAAACTAGCTATCAAAACTTACTACTGTAGTGCATTTAATATAGCAACAGCTTTAACTTTTGGTTCACATTCAAAAATGTGTACCTATAATATTATATACATAGATAGACTATTCAAAGTCTCATAACCTTATGTGGTTCAGCCTATTCAAACATGTATACAGAAATATAGCACAATATCACATATCTGGATTGGGAAGAATCAGACATAATACAGATATTAAAAATCTAGATAATCTTCCAAGGTAAATTAATACCTTATCTCTAGGAGTTCTATGGGCTCTATTTGCTGACACATTGGGATTGTCTAGTATATATACAATTCCACAGGGATAACCATTTTTCCTTAACAAAGACCCTGGGGAAATCCCCAAGCACAATCTGGAGGTCTAAAGATAAGATAAGGTGACACCACAATGTCATTTGAGAGCTCTCAAAAATTTCGCAAGGTGAGAAAATCCCAACACTCAGTCATTTAATTTCTGACATACTATGTACATTTAAAAAAAATCCCTTTATATATTTAAGTGAAATGTCTTCTTAGAGGATTCCCAGTGATTTTTTTTTAAAATTTGATTTCTTTACTGTTATTTTGTAGCAGAAAACTAAAAATAGAAAAAAAATGAAGATGATTTTGCTAAAAGTATTATTAATTAAAAATAGTCACTTTATTCACTTTATGAACTTGCTGATGGGATGATGTCTACCATCAGGATTGGACTCATCTCAGGATCTAAGATAGAATATAATAAATGTAAAGTAGAGGACTAAAGAAAAAAATTTAAAAAAATAATTCAGAAAGAGGTCACTTAACTTAAATCTTTATTGCTTACTAATCATTTGTCAGTATCATGCCTACCTTAAGTTCTAATTTTCTACTCTTTTAACTTTCTTCATAAGTCAAAGCCCAACTGAAAATTTTGAAAGTTAAAAAAAAAAGGTGTTGAATTTTGACTTAGCTGGTCCCAGAATCTGCAAAACTAGCTTCTTTTGTCCTTATGGAAGGACACCCACCCCCAGTTTCACAACAGGTACTTTGTTGTGAGGCTTGCCCACTGTCCTTGCAACAGCTTGGTATAGAGGAAAGGGCATGGGTCTAGGGTCACAGGATCTGGGTTCAAATGCCAACTTTGCCATTTCCTCATCTATAAAATGAAAGAATTAGATTAAGACCTCTATATTGGTTCTAGTCTGTAATGACCCTTATCTTCCTGGGAGAAAAATGTGATTGTAAAATCATCTCTTTCTGGAGCAAATTGGGAGAATAGATGTCATCAGGAAAATTCCTTTGACTATGTACTGTTTCCTCTGGTGGGGTGCTTGCTTTGCTTAGAGAAACATTCAAGTTTGGCTTAGTAGAAAGAACATTGAACTCGGAATACAAAAACATGGGTTCTAGTCCCTGCTTTTCCTTTTACATAGTAGGTGCTCTATGAATGCTAGTTCTTCTTATTGTTGTTGTTACCTAGGTTAAGGACCTTAGGCAAATTACTTTAGCTTTCTGGAGTTCAGTTTCTGCTTTACAAAATGAAGAGAATGCTTTAGATGATCTCTTTCAGCTATGGAATGTTGAAACTAAAAAATTAAAGTTGACCTCATGGTTCTTGAATGATGGCACATCCACTATACAAAAAAATTCTTAATTTTTTCTATGAACATACATTTAAATGTACATACATGACAAGAAATATATATGTATGTGTGTATATGTATACATATACAATTAAATGTGTGTGAGAGGCATGCTATCCTCAAGGTAATTAAATGAGTCATGTTAGTTATTATTGAATTCACTTTATAGATGGTCTTTATGGGGCAAACATTTACAATTCAACAAATAGTTACAAAGCATCTTCTAGGGACAAGGCACTGTGCTAGGTAATGGGGGAAAAGATAAAAAAAAAACCCTCAGTTCTCAAGCATTTAATAAACTAATTTGGAAGAAGGGAGAATGCACAGAAATAATTATTACATCAGCTCAAATGTTCTAAGAAGTCTAGACAAAATTACATATAATAGTGACATATATAGATAGCTTTAGATATTTATGGAAAAATCACTGTATTTGGGGTCAGATGTTTTCATTTCTCATTGACAATTTGTTAATATAATTTGTGCCTTAACTTCCATGTTTTCCATAAGTATACCAAATAGCAACCATTTTTCTATAGTGGTTCATCTACTTTGCCCAGAAAGAAAGCACCTTTCTGTTCTTGTTTGTTAGAAAAAGAGAATTGCTAAAGCAAAACATAAAAATGGCATTCAGAATATACAGCATGTTAACCAGATGTGAGTGCAGAAGGGTCCTCAGAATTTAAACCAGGTATAAAGATTTACCTCCTACCTTAATCTTTCATCCTAGCAGAGGTGGAAGGAACAGTCTTTATCCATTATTATTTACCATAAGATTTAGATCTGAAAGGGATTGTTTCCTCTTGTTTAAATAGAAATATCCCATCAGCACAACAGAGAATGATTATTTTAAACCAAAATCTTGATAAAACATTTCCTAGTTAAGGTCACTGTACAACATTAATGAACTCATGCCTCAGCACCTTTCACACCAAGCTTTTCTTCTCTAAACATTTCCTGTCAGGTAGAAAGTGGATTCAAGGTCCGTAATTCATGATCATTATTTTACCACAAAAAACTCCTTAGCAGTAAGAGATATATGGCTAACATTTATAGAACAAAAATTGAGGAGGGGGAATTAGATTCAGAATACTCTTTGTACTTATTTTTTTCCTAAGTTCAATTATTCCTAATGACTTAATCCATGTAGTTTAACCAAAAATATAGAGGACTTTTGTTGCTAAGGTTTTTCCAACATTTTAATTGCTCATCATTGAAAAAATTGATCAGATTGTCATGTGATCAATCAATTTCAGTTGAATGAAATAGCCAGAAGTACTGTTTTACTGGGAAAGTAACCAAGAATTGATCAAGTTATGTAGATTCACCTGGTCTCTCATGGATTTGTATCCTTTTAAACTTTTTTTGGGCAAATAAATGATCAGAGTAGATTATCTCTCCTTTAACTTCAATGCATATTATAGTTTATGATAGAA